CCATCACCCTTGCAACCTCTCCCCCAACAGAGGAGAACAAACCATTGTGGAAGCATTTAGCGTGTCACCACACTATACTCTTTTGTCTGCACTTCCTTGCTTGCAGTGCTCTACCATGACTTGTTGGTCTGGCAGAGGCCTCAGGCTTCTGCTACTCCATACTGGATCCTCACCAGGACTTCTGTTGAGCATCCTGTGTTGCCCAGTGTCATGGCGCTCCTGCAGTTTTGGATCTGTAGGACTGGCTCCTTCATGCACTCCCAACAGTTCATCAGTTGCATCAGTGTGGGAGTGGGCCAGTTCAAAACCACGGATCTGGGCCTGAGCGGTATCTGAGTTGGTCAGCCCACTGGTTCTCCCACTGTCACCATGCTCTTAGGCCTTAGGCCAGGTCTCCTTCCTGCCATAGGTAGAAGGGGAGAAGAGGGGTCATCTCTCCCTGGATCATGTAGGCAGCTCTCCCATGCTCATGCCCTCAGGGCTGGCTCACCTGTGCCCTTCCACCTCTCCCCACTCCTCCCTCCACCAGAGGCAGCTTTACTCTGCTGCCCGTGAGGTGCAGAGTCTGTTCTCTGGAGTGACACAGCTTGTCTTAGTCAGGGTTTGTATTCTTGCACAAATATCATGACTAAGAAGCAAGTTGGGTAGGAAAGGGTTTATTCATCTTACACTTTCCACATTGCTGTTCATCACCAAAGGAAGTCAGGACCGGAACTCAAGCTGGTCAGGAAGCAGGAGCTGATGCAGAGGCCATGGAGGGGTGTTACTTACTGGCTTGCTTCCCCTGGCTTGCTCAGCTTGCTTTCTTATAGAATCCAGGACTACCAGCCCAGGGATGGCACCACCCACAATGGGCTAGGCCCTCCCCCCTTGATCACTAATTGAGAAAATGCCTTACGGCTGGATCTCATGGAGGCATTTCCTCAAGGGAGGCTCCTTTCTCTGTGATAACTCCAGCTTGTGTCAAGTTGACACACAAAACTGGCCAGTACACAGCTAATGAGGGGCAGGTCCAGAACCCCGAATAGGAGACAAGTGGCAGGGCCAGCTCTCCCATGCTCATATCCTCAGGGTCTGGCTTACCCTCAACTTCTGCAATGTGTGTCTGCTTTCCTGCGTACTGCAGCTGGCAATCCTGCTGTCAAGGCCCCAGGGCCTTCTCCTCCATGATGCCTAAGTAAAGGGTGGGGCCAGTTCTGCACAATTCTTAGACATCAGGCTGTCCCCAGGTGGCAGCCCAGACTAGGGATGTCTGCCTGGCCTTTGGTGGCAACAGACCCCTGCTGCTACAGGGCCACACACCCAGACATGGCCCCAGGTGGCAGCATAGGCCAGGACCCCACCATGGTTCCAGGTGGGATCTCTGGCAGTCACATCAGGCTCTTCCTCATTCTTAGCTGCCCTTGAGTCTCTAGTTCTGCTTCTCTTCATTGTGCCCACATCCTTCTGTTTCTCTTTCTCTTCCATTTCCCCACCATTTACTGCTTCTCTTAATGGCCACAAGGGCCTCTGAGTGTCCCAGGAGTAGTCTCATATATGCTATGTCCAGCCTGTGCATTATGGCACCAGGTAGGGGTCATCTCGGGTGTGGTCTGACCCTCCAAGCTTGTGTGGCACCCAACTGGTGGTCTTCCCAGGCTAGCTCCTTGTCCAGGCCCTGTGACACCACTTTGGTGCTCATCTCAGCCTTGCTCAACTGGCCTGCCCAAGTGGCCCCACATGAGGGTTGTCTGTCTTGGGTTCACTCCATTCAGGGCCCTCAGTCCTTGGAGGGGTTCTTCTAGTCTCCGGCTTGCTCTTGGTCCTGGGAGCAAGACTTGGGGCCTGCGTGGCACTAGACTGGTGGTTGTCTCAGGCTAGCTTTTTTCAAGGAATGTTAAGCTATTAATCATTCACATATTCACAGGTCAGAACACTGAGCAGAGCAGAGCCTGTCTCCTCTCTGCCACCTACTCATGCACTTGTGATGCAGCAGCCACACCTGCAGTGCTTCTAGGACCAGGGGTGGAATTATATTTTAATGAACAAAGAAGTATGAACACGGGTATGCAAGTCAGAAAGTGCTCATTCATATTTAACTTGACTTTGAATCCAAGGGAAAGATGTTTTTCCAAGGGAACAAGGAAATTCATTCAGTTATTCGACAGGTAAAGTTCTAGGCAGTGAGTAACTAGGCAGAAATTTCTATCGTCACAGAGCTCTCGATCTGTTTGGGAGAAAGAATCAATTTGCAAGCCACCTGAATACAACTCTCAGAATTTTGGAGAATTTGAGTGTGACTACCAAGAGAGCAGTGCACAGCAGGAGGCTCAGAATCTCGTGAGTGGGTGTGGGAGGGTGTGGACCCCAGGAGCTCCAAGCTCTGCTGCCTCTTGGGACTTAGTCTGTACAGAGGTAGTTCCCTTCACCCACAGCTCCAGTTCCTGACCCATTGGGCCTGCTGCCTTCTTCAGCAGCCAGAGTCCTCCCATGGTCTTATCACCAGAAAGGTCAGAGGATTCTTTTAGGCCTAGTATTAGCTTTTGCCTTAAAAAAAAAAAAAAGTTTTATTGGGATACTCAGAAATTTACCCACGTGTACAGTTCAGTTATTTTTTACAGGTTTGTATAACTATAGGACATTTTCCATCATCCCCATAAGATCCCTCATGCCTGTTTGTGGTCATTCCTCATTCTGAACCTAGCCCTAGGAAGGCATTTGTGTCTTCTCTGTGAGCCTGCCTTCCCTGGGAGTTTCTTGTGAGCAGATTCGTCCAGTATGCAGCCTTTGGCATCTTGTTTTTTACTGAGCTTTCTATTTCCTAAGAGCATCTGAGGTGAAGTATGTCACTGCTTTCTCCTTTGTTGTTAAACAGCATTTCACTGTGTGGATATGACAAGTTTCATTTGATCCTTTTAGTTCTGTCAGCTCCCTAGAGTAGATGACCTACCACTGTTTAAATCCAGCCTCTCTTCCAGCATGTTGTGGATGGCTGTAGCTCTTAAGCACTGCCCAGGTTTTGTAGCTGCACTGTGCCCCTTCTATAGCCTTAGCCCCTGTATGTAGCCAGTGATTACTGTGTTGACTAGATCTCCCCGGGGTTACCCCTCATTATTGTTACTGCCCCATCTCTCCTTGCTCATTTAAGTTTGTAGCCAGCTGTGCTGCAGGGTAGCCAGAGTCTTGGGTGGCTACTGAAAGTTACAGTTACTGATATGAAAACTTCTGCTTCCCATTCTCACTATCTACATTTCTCTCCATATGTGTGCATGCATGCATGCATGTATATGTATGTGTACACACGCAATGGCAGCCAGGTATCAACCTTGGGTATCATCCCTCAGAAGCTGTCTGTCTTGTCTGCCTTGCTGCCCCAACACCCTTTTTGAGACAGGGTCTCTCACTGATGCCTCCTTTCACCAATGAAGCTGACTGACTGGCCAAGGAGCCCCAGCCATCTGCCTGTTTCTGCCTCCCCAGCACTGGGGATACAAACCTGTGCCACCAAGCCCTAGCCAGTGGGTGCTGATGAACAAAGATGGTCATACTTGTATGGCAAGCACTGGAGCTATTGCCCTAGCCCCTTCCTGTATGCAGCCAGTGATTACTGTATTAGACTAGATCACCACAGAATAATCCTGATTATTAATACGTTGTGCTAGGCAGGTCTGACTTACAAGCACTGCTTCCTAACTGTCTGACACTGATGTCACCTGACCTCTCTCTAGCCTTTTGTGGCTAGTGTTGCCTCCTGTGAAAGGAAGTGGGATGATGGCTGGCGCAATGCCCTACATCTCTTTCTAGTAGTTATATCTCTGTGTAGGGGCAGCAACTGGCAATAAGCTGTCCCATAACTGTCTCCAGATGGTCTCCCAGACAAAGATTAAAAAAGAGCCAGCCTAGTGGTGCTAGGAATACCATGAATATCCAGGGACTCCCTAGGTGACTGCTCTGTGACAGCTCTGTGAGACTATCCTCCCATTGTGCGTGTGTGTGTGTGTGTGTGTGTGTGTGTGTGTGTGTATGTGTGTGTGTATGTATCGACTCCCAGACTTACATTTTTCCTCTTGGCTTTCTTTGCCTTGTGTTCTTATCTTAGCCTTGGAATTGGAAATGATCACATCTCAAGTTCTAATTATTTTGTTTTAGCTGATACAAGGCTACAGCTGAACCCCGATTCTCAGGGACAGCCTCTGCACTCTGTGACAGTATCAGTGTGGAATGAAGAGTGTCTTTAACCCTGCAGGTGTCCTAATAAACATTGGTGCTAAGAAATAGAAGCACACATGTGGACACATCTCTGCATCTGCTGGTATGGGTGTGGAAGCCTGGGTCAGTAACCATGGAAACAAGCTACAATCGGATGCCAGGCAACCACTGGAAATGGATTGTAGGTCTCCTGGCTGGGGGAGATTACCATAGCACTCTGAGTGAAAACTGCACGTGTGGGTGTGCAGATGTGCTATGGATGTGCTATGGGGTGACTAAGACGATTCTCAGTTGTCATTAGACCGTGTGGTTTAGGTAATCTTACTTTTCTCTTTGGATTTCATATCTTTGTTTCTTCCTTATTTTATTCATCTGAGTAATCCTCTGTGTGTGTGTGTGTGTGTGTGTGTGTGTACACGTACATGTGTGGTCATGGTCAAATTCATGTGGAGACCCGAGGTAATTTTCTACTTTTATTTTTTATTATCTACTTGTTTCTTCATTTGTTTGTTTGTATATATGTATGTATGTATGTATGTATGTATGTATGTATACATGCATGTATGTATTGAGATGGTGGTCTCCCTGTGTCACCCTGACTCTCCTGGAACTTTCTATGTAGACCAAGGTAGTCTCGATCTCACTGGATCTGCATGCCTGTGCTAGGATTAAAGATATGTGCCACCATTCCCAGCTCACCTTCATGTTTTGACATGATGTCTCACTGATAGCGGAGCTACCCAGGCTGACTAGCTGGTCAGTAAGACATGGGATCCTCCTGTCTCTGCCTCCTCAGTGTGAGGATTACAAGCAAACACCATCATACCTGGACTTTTCTTTGGGTTCTAGGGATGGACATTGGGTCCTTGGACTGCTAGCACTTTACCAACTGAGCCCTCTTCCCAGCCCTAACCCATGCTTTTCTGATGAGGGGGGGCAGGTTCTCATGAGTACCTACTCTGTGCCAGGCATATTAATAAAGATTCTTCGCTTTCATGTGTGCTCTGTAGAGTGGATATATGGATGGTGGAGCCTGCTGTCCCCTGTTCCCAAGAGTTTAAGGCTCAGGGAGCCTGTGTGTTTTTTCAGGACCTGGCATTATCAGGGCACCACAGAGAGTCAGCTGACTTTGGAGGTCATTTAATGTTGCCTGGGAGGTGTCATGACTTGTCCAAGGTCTGAAGCTACCTGGAGAGAGGCAAACAGGCCTGAAAGCACCGGGTCTGTGATATTGTGGTGGTGCAGCACTGAGTGACCTTGGTATAGTCAGAAGGCTTGTAAGCATCATGGCTAGCCTAGTCTCTGTATGGACTTGGACTGTGTTGCTTCTCCCAAAGGGCCTTAGGAATGAGAGAGCTCATCCAGTGTGGTCCAGCTCTCCAGCCTGATCTGTAAAGTCTGTGTTTATCTGGCCCAGGTTTTCTCCCATCCCAGGATCATGGAGCTGTTTTTGAAGCTGTATTGCTTGTTCCTGGTGTGTTACCAGAGGCACTCTACTCTCTTTATTCCCTGTAGATACTGGAGTGACCCAAGGGCGTCTATGTAAAAATAGCACTGTTGCTACTGCTCTATTGCTTGCTGGGTCAGGATCTGTTTCCTTTCCTGGCTGTTGATGGATTTCGCTGTCTGTTATCAATCTGCATGTGCACTAGTGGCACTGCCTTGGATTCTTCTGTTCTGTAGTGAGTAGGAGGGAGCCCACCACCTTGTGCTGAATGTCTTGCTATTTGTGTATCTGCACATACTCATTAGGCTGTGAGGCCCTTGCTGATGGGGAAGCCAGATATGGAACTATGTCCTGTAGTCACCCAAATTGTCAGTGTCACTCTTGAGCTGAGGGAACATTTGTAAGTAGCTAAGGGCTACTGCTCACTATATCTCCCAGCAGACCTGCCAGTGTGACTGCCCATGGAGGGCAGCATATACTGCTTGGATGCCAGATGCCGAAGGGATTGCTCTCGCTTCTGAGTGGGACTGAGCAGTATCATGGGATAGTTTACTGAGCTTTTCAGAATAGCACCCAATTTAAATGCAATAAGTTGTTTATTTCAGGACTTCATGTCTTACTTTGGGACTGTCGTTTGATGTGATAGCTAAAACTGTAGAAACCACAGTTGTAGATAAGAAGGGTAAAGGACCAGGGTGATAAGACGCTCACATGTTGAGCGTTACCCTACTTATTGTAGAATTGCTGCCACCAACATGGGTACACAGAGCCCTTGACCTTGCCTTTGTGTTCACATCCAGAGCAGAATCGCTGGATCATACAGTTAAATTCTATTTAATTTTCTGAAGACATTTTGCACACTAATTCTTACTTCACACCCCCACTAGCAGTGAGTAGTTCCTATTTCTTTGCACTGTCACTTCCTGCCTCCTTTGCTCTTCCGTCTCTCCCTCCCTCCCTCCCTCCCTCCTTCCCTTTTCCTTTGTAGTGCCGCTAGTGAATGTCAGCTGTTGCTTTTTACCCACTTGCTCTGTCGAGCATCTGTGCACCTGCCCTTTGCGGTTCGCTAACCCTTTGCCTCCTTGTGCTGTACTTGGACTTTCCCCTGATTTCCCTCCTGTTTAATTTCTCTTCCTCTGTGTACAGTACACTTTGAATGGAGCCCATTTTTTGGCTCTTAATTTGGTTTATTATTTGGATCTTAAAAAAAAATCTTTGGAATGTCTTTTTCCTTTCCCCAGGCAAATTAAGAAGCTATAAACAATGTTTTCACTGTGGCAGTTTCTCAGCTATCCTTGGCTTTGACCTTAACAGTGGAGCACTGGGCAGGTGTTAGTTTCCCTTGGATTACTCACAGCTTGAAGGCTT